CCCCAAAACCCCAAAACCCCAAAACCCCGGAGGATCTATTTAGAGATCATTTGATCAATAAGTTATAATTTAAATAAAGAATATTAAGAGAAAATAGTAAGGGCATAAAATACATATAAATGGGAGTCGAGAGAAAAGATGATCAAAGTCAGTCTTCACATCACAGTCAAGAGAATTCTGACGGCAACTCTGAGTAAGAGTAGGAACAGCTAAACTCTAGCCAGAAAATAGTAGAAATCTTGTCAGAGGCAGAGGATGAAAACGGGGATGCCATGGAGGGAGTCGAATATAGTCAGCCCATTGATGATTAGCTTTCCAACAATAATTCTCATCATTCTGGAAGCAATAAATACTCACCACATTAGGTATTATCTGATTGAGTATAATTTATAGGACGTTGACAGTGAAATGGATGAGATGAATCAATTTGAAGAAGAAGAGAAATGCACTTCGAAACTAGGGAATGAATTTGAGACTGAAAAAGCAAAGGATGCATTATATTTTGAGCTTGGAGATCATGTTGATTGTCTTGATAGTGTGAATAAGTGGTGCAACGCTGAGATAGTTTCTGTAAGTGAAAGATCTGTTATTAATTTATAATTTAGAAAAAAGGGAATCAGGTAAAGGTTCACTTCACTGGTTGGCCATATAAATATGATGAATGGATTGAGCAGAGCTCACATAGGCTGCTGAAGCAATGGAGGAGAAGTGACCCATTCTAACTATACAACAGACTTGATGTCAGAGATGTTAAAGGAAAATGGCTTGAAGCTAACATTGTTAATATCGTTCAAAATGACTACATCAAAGTTCACTTCAAAGGATGGGCATCTAAGTGGGATGAGATTATCAGCATTGAACCCTAAGAAATCTAAAATTTAATAGATGTCAAATTTGCTGAGATTGGTAAGTATTCTGATGGGTATGGAGGGGCTAAATTCGAGAAACTGATGAAAAAATAAGATGCAAATTTGGATGAATTTAAAAACGACAATTTTATAAATACTGATACGGATAAGCAAAAAGAGCAAGAGGCTATGCAGTAGAAAATGAGGGAAATAAAGGAAAAGGAAAATAATTTTAGAAGGATTTTAGCAATGAAAAACCTTAAAATTATAGAGATGGAGGGCGATGGCAATTGTCTATTCAGAGCAATATCAGACTAAATCTATGATGGCGATTAGTCTCATCACATGCTGATCAGACAGGCATGCATGGACTACATTCAACTTGAAAAGGAATTCTTCGTTCAGTTCATCATAGGTGGAGCGCAGACCTTCGACTACTATATTCACAAAAAACGATAGGACGGAGTATGGGGTGATGATATTGAGCTCTAAGCAATGAGTGAGATTTATAATCGTCCAATTGAGATTTATGCTTACAGATCTGAACCGCTTAGAACTTTTCACGAAGACTAGCATCGAGACAAAGGAATCAAGCCAATGAGGTTAAGTTATCATGGGTCAGAGCATTACAATTCCATTAGAGAAATCAACTAAATAGTCAGACCTAGAAACTAAAGACTCATTGATATGGAAGAGGAGAAAAATGATGGGTCCTCACACAGTTCTTCTAAAGCACCAGGATTCTTAGAAGATTAGGCAATTAGATTAAGCAGATTTCGGAAGATGGGCTAGACTGAAAACTTAAACAGATAGTTTAAGCAAATCAATACCAATTAGACTAATTCAGAAAATACTTAGGAGTTGATTATGAGATCTAGATAGGAATTTGAGTTGAGAGGTAAAAGAGATATGGAAGTGGCTTTGGTTGAATCATTGCAAATTTATGAGAAAGAAATTAAAGAGCAAGAGGAATAGCTACTGAGCAATTCTAACAATCAATATGAAGAGGAGTAGCTAGTGTAAATCGCTTTAAAGGAGTCAATCAAAGATGATGATAATAGATTCTTGATATAAAACTAGCAATTGCTTGATAATTTTGAGGATAATCAGCAGTCTGAAAATGAGGAAGAAATGCTTTTAAAGGCTTTGGCAATGAGTACTGCTGATAATAATAATAATAATAATTCAATCCAAGATTAGATTATTCAGTAGTAGGAACCTGTAGACTAAGACTCTAAATATGAAGAGATAATTTAGATAGCTCTGGAGTATGGGTTTGACGCTGAATAAGCAGTCTAGGCAATTTCAATAATGGGCACTAGCAATCCTGATATGGTAATCAATTTCTTGCTTTCACAGAGCCACTTTTGATGAATATAATTATAGTAATAAAATAGAAGTAAATTTGATTTAATAATCTTCAATCAAATTGAATTAGTCTAAGAATTGCTTTGAGGGGTTTTGGGGTTTTGGGGTTTTGGGG